ACCTGTTGCATTCTCCTTGTTTCATTAGCTTCATCTAATATCCATTGCTCACTACTTTTTATTGTTACCTGTTGCATTCTCCTTGTTTCATTAGCTTCATCTAATATCCATTGCTCACTACTTTTTATTGTTACCTGTTGCATTCTCCTTGTTTCATTAGCTTCATCTAATATCCATTGCTCACTACTTTTTATTGTTTCTTTACCCTCATGCAATAATAAGCTATGTTTGCAATACTTCTAGCTGTATCTGATGACTCAGGTTCACATTCTAAACAATTCTCACATCACAAACCTTAATAGTTCAAGTTGCAAGCATTTCTTATGGCACTTTCAAAGTAAAAATACACCCCTGACAGGCAGTTCATGGTTTAAATCACAGGATGAAACTCCATTTTTTAGTTCTGTTTCCTTAGTACAGAAACCAAACCAAACAATCATGGAAACGTTCCTCGCTGTCGGTCCTCTGCATCCAGCTCCTCTCTATATGCAGCATCTCTCTTTCTGCTGCCCTCGCGCCATCTCTAACCATCACTCTCCGAGCCATCCTCCCGCTCCCGCCGATCGAAACCCTGACATTCTCCAACCCCGCGACTGTTCTCCTCTTCACAGTCTGCGGCAACGGCGACCTCACCCCACACTTCTTCTTCTGCAGGCTTCTCCTCAAAACGCCTTTCAATTTCTTACTACTACTAGTAGTTTGCATCTGACTGCTATTTACATCCTCTCCTTCACGTGCACCATCTCCTTTCGTGTTGATATCTGGCGAAGGTATCAGCTGCAAAACATTGATGGTCGCATTGCCGGGTATAGGAATCAGTGAGTTGCGACGTGATGATGGCATGTTCACGCTCGGATGAGTTTCTGCAGGCCCGAGAGAGACTCTGCTGGCCTTTCTCGAAGGTGGGATCAGCGAGTTACAACGAGCTGCAGGGAAAATGGGAATCTCAGGCACTGCATGGAAGAGCGAGAATCTGCCAGCATTTCTCTGAGGTTGTTCTTCCGAAAACTCTGGTTTATTTTCCTTGTCCTTCGGGAAAAGAAAATTCTTGAGGATATTATTCTCTGCAAGTGTGTTGTCATCGATCAAGATCCAGCTATGACTAAGGCATTCCCTCTTGTTCTTCCAAATACATTTCACAGGTAATATAGTAGCTGCAGCTGATTCTAAATTATTAAACATGTTGCTTATGTAAGATTTGTTGTTGGTTGTGATGTATGCTGAGCTTAGTTTATTTTCCTTGTCCTTCGGGAAAAGAAAATTCTTGAGGATATTATTCTCTGCAAGTGTGTTGTCATCTGACTGCACTGGCTTGATAATGTTGTTCTCTGTCAGCGGTTGTGGTCGTGATACATTCCCAAGCTCTGATACATGGTTGTGGTTTTTTGTTTCTAGTTGCTTTTGTTTCTGCTGCTTCTGCTGTTGGTGGTTCTCGGCAATCTTGTTGTCTACGTGCTGCCTTGCAAGCTTTCGTTCAATCAGTAGCTGTGATTCTAACTCCTTAACCTGTAATAAATGTCATATGTATAGTTACAGTACTTATCTCGTCAATTAACAAAGTTTGTTCCATTGATATACATGAATGACAGTCTTCACTACAAATTTTCTTCCCATTGAAAACCTCAGGGGGAATCTTACGTCAATCTTGCGAACCTCATGGGATTTTATGTAAATTATTCCTAAATATAAGAGATTATCACCTCTCCTAATTTGTGTAGATTGTGACCTCCATTACATGTCAAACAATCTCAATTGATTTTCTCTAATTTCATCCTCAATGGGAGTATCCCGTAACCTTCTGTAGATGCACTCACTTCTTATGCTATTTCTTATTAGTGCGCTAGTCCATCATGACAGTTCGTAAGAATAGTCTCCAAAGAAAAATAGAAAATATGTTTCCAAGTATCATATCAGGCTTCAGGTGTTTGGACTTACAGTTGGCATGCAAATATTATCAACTGCATGTGTTTTATAAGTTTTGCAAGGACAGTCATAAGTCCATGTGCTCACATAGCTATTTGAAAAGACATAAAACATGCATTCAGAGAAATAGCAACTGCTTTTTACCTTGTCTTGGAGATTCTTATTGATCAGATCTTTCGCCTTGTTCTTTACTTCTAAAGAATGAATGGTCTCTTCCATTTTCTTCATTTGACCGTCTTTGTTCTTGATATCATTCTTCGCCTTCTCAACCTGAAAATTGCAGGAGGGAGCTCACTAGCATGCCATTGATAGTCTAGAGGCTTATATAGTCTGAAAACATTTGTACCATTTGTTTGTATCCATCAACTTGCTTCTTGGCTGGACCAAGCTCAATTCCCCTCACCCTGCTTGCAAAATTCAGAGAACATAGAGTTTCGCCTACATCGTTTTCATTAGGACTTATCTGAACAAACATCAAAGTCTTCGAATCTCCACCTACATTTATTCATCCGAAATAAATTCAAACCGACCTCAAGAAGCAACCTTCCAAATTTAAACAGTAAGAGAGTTATTCACCTAAAGAGTCTTGAAGCAAGTGGGTAAGTTTTGAATTCCTGCATAATTTCAAAATAACTGTAAGGTGGAAGAAGATTTTAATAGAACATGTGTAATGACCATGACATTTATGAGGGTAAATTTCACATAGCCCCCAAAAGTTTGGCCCATTTTGAGATAACACCAAAAGAGTTTTAATGATGTCATATAACACCAAAAAGGTTGTGTCAGATTGGGGGTTATCTGACAACTTTTGGGCTTTACGTGGCATATTTAAAAGTTTGTGGTTATCTCAAAATGAGCCAAAGTTTCTGGGGGTTTAAGTGAAATTTACCCCATTTATGAAGATGGCTTCAAGACCTGAAGGGAATATGTGGGCTTTTAGTCGCAAGAGCAGAGATCACGTCACCGAGAGCTGAAAGGGATCTGTTAATGCTCTGTGCCTCCTTCAGCCGGTCTCCTTGAGCATCAGTCTTCGCCACTCTCTCACTTCCTGATAAATCAACGAGCCAAAGCTTACTCTTCGTGCACTCTCCATTCACCAGATTCTCCCCTTTTACCATCACACAGTGAATGCTGACCCAAAAAAAAAGAAGTTAGTATTTTTGATAATACGGGATTATTCAATGTTCTCGCAAGAAATTCTTACCAGTGAGATCGGCTACTATGTTCATTTGCATTGGTTGCTCCAACTGCTCTTGCTTTGCTGCCTGTTTGCAATACTTCCCAAACCTCACTCATGTTGCTCACATTAGCTTCAACCAGTCCAGGTACATGATGCACTCCCTCTGCAACTTGCCTCACTTCTAATCTGTGGGGAAAAAATACATCTAAAAACATATATTCCTTTCCTATTTGTCTTTGATTAATGAGGTAAAACTACTATACTTACCTCTTTGCGGCTACTCCAGGATGAGATTCTTGTAGGAGCAAGTCACGTATTTGCTCATTGTAAACTTCTAATACACTGACGGTAAGTTCATATTTGAACATCCCTTGTCTTTCTCTGATAACTCGAAATAGTTCTTCAAGAGTCCGAAAGTTTACTCCACGAGCTTCTTCTGTTCCTTCCATGGTAAACGTTTTGCCCGTCCCGGTCTGCCCATAAGCAAATATGCACACATTGAACCCATCCAACACCGATACCACCAAAGGCGAAGTCTTTTCAAAGACTCTCTCTATTCATGAATTTAGCGAAAGAAATCTAAGTACAGAAATGTTGGTAATGAAAGCTAGCATTTTAGATAAATTAGGAAAATTGGTAAATCACCCTGATCATCTTCTGGGCTAAAGACAGAGTCAAACTTGAAAACTTTCTTGAATGATCCGTGAGATGATTTGACTGTAAGCTCCCCATCCTTTGCTGATTCGAATTCAACAGCCATGGTAGCCCCTCCTGCTATTTCTTCCGAGTTAAGAGGGCGACATCGACAAAAAACTCTGATGTTTCCTGTAGTATATAGCTATCTTTTAGTATGAGATGCCCTTTTTCAACAATTAATCCCATTTCACAGTATTTGACTAACCTTTTAGCTCTATAACCTTATTGTACAAATCCCTTCGTTCCTTTGCCTCTTTAGCATACATAAATTTGAGGCCTTCGTACTCCTTTTTCATGTCTAGATGATGATCAACTGTCCAATAGGTAAAGAAAATGTTTAAACTTTGACATAGCAGTGATATCAAGAGGTTTAATAACTGCAAAATGTCGAAACTTACCAGTAGATTGAATTGTTTTGGCCATCTGTGTCATGTCGGAAAGGCACTTTCTATATTCCAATGCCTCTTCGGAAAGCTTAGCATGCTCTATCTTCAACATCTATTTCAAAATGTAAAAATGTATCAGCTATGCAAATAATGAAGAAAAAGAAGGAGAAAGGTAAGGAGGAATATTAAAAAAATGAAGGTTTTGATACCTTAAATTTCTCACTCAAGTCTTCTAGAGATTGAAACCACCTACCTTTCTCCCTCACTTGTCCTTCCACAGCAAAAGCTATAAAAATGGGGATATAGATCAGTGTTCACTAAGGAATTTCTTATTAATAAGAAGGTAAATTATGGAAAATCCATTGTGAATTTTAGGAATACATGTTATACTCCTCATTACAGTTTATAGGAAAATTTTCATCAGTATGTTGATGTAATCACTATTTTGGTACAATAATTTTCTAAATGCTTATATCGTCGGATCACAGATTTTTCGTTCAAGTTAAATTCATAGAGATTGAAATAAAGGGGGCCAAATTTCAAGGGAATTTTACGTAATTTAATCTTAATAAGAGGCCATATTTTCTGCGCATCACACACCTAAAGAACCAACATGCATTGATTTGCGCATGAGCTCCATCTGAAGTTCATGGAGTGTAGTCCAAGCCTCATGGCATTCTCTACTCTTTAATTCATTCTCCTTCTTCAAATCTTCCAACAATCTCTTAACTTCCAATTGCTCCTTCAAAAGCAAGTTGTACCGTTGTTTGAGCTTCCTACATTCAATGCAATTTTCCTGAAAAACAAGATTGTAATTAAATTCTTCAATTGCAATTGTAACTGAAAGTTATTTTCATGTAGTTCACTTATAAACAGACCGAGTTGGATGATAAATCTTCCTCCTCCACAGAAATTGATGCATTTTCTTCAATCTCCTGCCTCTGAAGTTCCTCTCCTAGATACCAATTCGATATTTTTAACCTTTATGTAACATATTTTTAAAAGATTTAATACCTCTAGAAAGGAAATTAGCATACCAGTAGAAGAATATCTTCTTATTGAAATACCGCAAACAATAGGTTTTCCTACAACTCCTTTGAATCTGATCGACAAACCCTCATCCCCAACAACATAAGCTCTAAGATCTGATAATATTAGAGGCTGGTTCGAACCAACTTGTGAATATATATCTATGCCTGGAACAACCTGCCAGCAATACGAATCCAGTAAAAAAACAAAGAACACAAGTAAGTTAGGTAATTTCAAAATACCTCTTAAACTTTATAAATCAGTGAAAATCTCTTTCAAACGCGTACAAAAACCGATGGGCTGTAGAAAAAATTCATAGAAACTGTTAACATGAAGGGTTAAAAGTCTAAACTACTCATATCACTGCCTACCTATCCTTATCCGAAACGCACTCTTTCAGTAATATTGAGAAAATGCGTAAAGACACAATAGTCCAAAACATGTCTGCGGTTACGAAACTTAAGGGTGGCAAGTTCGGGGTACTGATTTAAAAAGATTAAGGAGGGGGTTTTGTGCAAAAACACCCCAAAATTCAGAGGTTTGTGAAATTTACCCATAAAACTAGCAGAAACAAGTAGAACACTGAACTCAAAAGCAGGTAACATATCAACACTAGCAAATCCTTACCTTCTCTTCTTGAATGAAGATATCGAAGACTCTCATCCCTCGAGGCCCATCAACGAACACAATCTCTGCAAGATGAAGATCAACAATATATTCTCCCGCCTCTAACTTCGGAAATATATAAGAAAAATCTCCAATTCGAGCAGACTGATACAATGCAAGTCCTTCACCATCACCAATCCTTACATCTGTTCTAATGTCATCACCGCCCGTAAAAAAGCAGTCTTTCCGGAAATCAATACCATCACACGCTACAGAATCATTGATTCCTCCTACATTGATACTCAATGAGCCATCTCTAAGCTCCATTATTGTTTCTGAGAGCTCTTGATCCTTAGATTCCTCAACTGATCCCCGTTTTTCCTCTGAAAGCTTAGGGCTTTTCTCCGAGAAGAGCTCGACGGGTGCGATTTGAACTCTTCTGCACTTCTTTCTTATGTAATCTGGGGTTTCTTGAATATTTTCAGAAGGTAGCTCAGGATCTGGGGATGTTATAGATAACTGGAGCTTGGATTGGCCTGCAAGTATAAGTAAAACTTTGAGGGGGGGAAATTGGGAGATTTATAAACTTTTCGAAAGGGAAATTTTGTCAAGAACCCAGCAAAGAAATTTATGCAAAATACCAAATCGGTTCCTGTGGGAAATTCTACTGGAATCAAGAAATAAGGAAATGGGTTTTCCCCCAATTCCTTCAAAACTAGAGATACCATCATGGAATCTTACAATTTCTTCAACTTTTATTTTGTTTAAAACAACAAAAAGGATCGTAATCTTACGTACCCGTGTCATTATTGGGAACTGGGTTTCCTTCCATTTCCGCCTTTTTTCCCCCCAAAATGCTAGAATTCTCCACAAATTTCACTGAACATATAAGAGTAGTAATAGGGAGTGTTGCGCGCTAAGATTTTTCAAGTGAAAGAGAAAGGAGTAAAAAGAGAAATCATTAGGGTTTTAGCGAAAGGAAAAGGTGTAGAGGGAGAGAGAGAGAGAGAGAAAGGGGGGAAGAGAGAGGAAATATAACCGTTTTAATTTGAATTTTGAAAACTTAATTAATTTACTAATGAGCGTAATTAAGAGTACAATTATACCTTTCCTTATACCTAACGACTTACCATGGACGCCGTATAAGGATCGGATGCGACAGACGAACGTCAAAGCGCATTTCAGACCGCTCAGTAGCTGCCACGTGCATTAAAGTGCGAAGGAACTTCTGGCGCACGGACACGTGTTCTTTTGATATTGGCCGTCACTGAAGATCATGTTATCAGGTCAACATGATAGGAAAAAAAAAGTGTGACAGCGCTGACAGGTAGAGGTTGTTATTGCTCTTCACGAGATTTGTGTGAGCAAGGTAGGTTCAAACTTTTTTTTCCATGACTTTTTAGTTAAAAATTGTAACAAAATCTAGAATAATTTAGAATTTCAGTGATAACTCCATCTGATGAACTCTATTGGAATTGTTGGATATCCTTAAAATTCTACTGATGATAGAAAAATTCAAATGAAAATTAGCTAGAGTATTCAGAGCAAATTCTAGGAATTTAGTGTAAATTAACAAAATACCATTCTCATTTTTATTTTTATATTAGGAATGTAATAACAGACATATATATTTTCCTTTCTCATGTTTAAGAGCTTCACTCAGGTAATATGGTTCTGTAGATCCAAACCTAGTCGTAAGATAACTAGATAATAGTTTAATTTTATGAGTTTCATCTGGCTTTTAGTTTGATTTTCTTTTACCGCCAGAACCCTAAAATTTTATTTTATATGATTCTAAGCATTGCCTATAGAAATTTAAAACTTTGTAAAAAGAATATGAAGGTTCTTTCCAATAAAGTGTGAAAATGGTTATTTCCAATAATTTATTTGACAGTTCAGTTTTATTCTCTCTTCTACTACCACACGAATTAGATATAAAAATTCACACTTTTTTCACTTTAAGGTATTTAAATTATCTGAAAATTGTCAAACAAAAAGATTGATTATTTCTATTCTCAATTCTTGATTTGAAGTGTTATGACTCTGGTTTGATATTTGCAGTTAATATTAGTAATTAGGTTTCTCATCTAGCACATAGATCATAAAGATAGATGCTCTGAATTTCATATCTCTATAATAATAGACAAATTTTCAAAACCGACCCTTTTTAAACTTTAATTAGAAAAATCGACCCGTTTAACATTTAAGTAGCATTTTTGACCCATTTTCAGCTAGCTAGCTAAAACTAAGTCGAAAATGCTAAATAAGTTAAAAAAACTTCACGGGATTGAGAATCTTATGAAGTTAAGTACGAAATTAAGCTACACTAATAATTAAAACAATCTTCACGAGATTGCTAATCCCGTGATGATGCTTGTGATTGCAAACTTCTTTAGCAATAGCCCTGGGCTTCGGTAACAACAGCCCATGATGATGGGCCCCCACTTATTCGGTTGCTTCTCTCTCCCGATGCCTTTGGCATATGCTTTCTCTTCATCAAAAAGCAAAAACAAAGTAGGAGAAGCGAAAAATCCTCTCAAAAATGGGATCTTTGAAGAGACGAGTGGAATCATGGACTAAGGACCAAACCCTAAGAATGGGCATCTCGTCATGGCTGCCTCCTGTCTCCCTCCCTCACTCTCCACCAAATTGGAGATGGACGCCATGATGAGGGTGAAGAGAGGATAGGTGAGAGCAGGGGAGGCTGCTAAAGGAGGAGTATGGTCACAAGCACCGCCACCTCAATGATCTCTACGGTGTTGCGCGTCGTGCGGAAGCGTGCTCGACAACCAAACGAGTCCGCGAGCGATGGGAGAAAAGAACTAAACCAAACAAGAGTGCAATTCACCAAAAAAATACGGTACAAATCAAACCACAAACACAGAGAATTTATGTGGTTCGGCAAATTACCTACATCTACGGGGAGAGGATGAGGAGATTTTACTATATTGAGGAGAAATACAATGGGTTACAACTCACACAAACTCTCAAATATAACCCTAACTAAAAATCTCAACTCCCTCACAAAATCTCCCTCTCAATATGCTCAAAAGACTCTTTTTCTCTCTAATACTCTCTACTAATTTTATCTTCTAAAACGTTCCATATATATAGAAATCCTAAAATCAAAAACATACTAGGAATTCTAAAACCAAAATCAAAACAGATTAGGAATCCTAATAACCTGTTACCAAAACAGATTAGAAATCCTAATAACCTATTACCAAAATAGATTAGAAATCCTAATAACCTGTTACCAAAACAGATTAGGAACCTGCTATCCAACAATTCTCCACATCGGCGAAGTATTTCCAAAATCGAGCGGACACCAACAAGAGCACCAATGTGTTGTCTCTCCAAATCCGGCTGCACCAATGTGGTTGCCTATATACCTCCTCTTCCAAGGGATCAAGCCACCCGTAGTTCATCCAAATGGCCTTGAACAGTCTCAACAATCACTCACGGCATCCCAATGACCCGAACCTCGGTCGTGCATGTATCTAGAAACCATGCTCACTACCTGTGATAAATCTGGCCTCGTACAAACCATGGCATACATCAAACTTCCAATAGTGCTTGCATATGGAGTCTTCGACATCAACTCTCGATCTTCAACTATCTTTGATGAAAGGTCAGCTGAAAGCTTCAAATGGGCTCCCAATGGTACACTAACTGGTTTCGTTTCCATTCTCACATTGAACCGTTGTAGAACCTTTTTCAAATAAGTCATTAGTGTCAAACAAATTCTACCCTTGTCTCTGTCTCTACCGATCTCCATCCCCAAAATGCACTTAGCTTCACCCAAATCCTTTATCTCGAACTCACTCGAAAGTTGAATCTTTAATCTATCTATCGCGGATCTGGAAGTAGAAGCAACTAACATGTTATCGATATAAAGTAATAAATAAATATACGCACCTCCATTCAACTTATGATAGTACACGCAAGGATCAAACCGGCTCCTAATGTACGAATGACCAATCATGAACCCATCGAATCACCTATACCGCTGTCACAGAGATTGCTTTAACCCGTATAGCGATTTCTTTAACGTACAAACCAATTTCTCCTTCCCTGTAGCTCGGAACCCCAATAACCGAGTCATATAGATTTCCTTATCAAGATCACCATGAAGAAATATTATTTTCACATCCAATTAATCTAATTCCAAACCATACTATGCCACTAAAGTTAGCAAAATCCGAATCGAATAATGCTTCACCACTAGAGAGAAGACCTCATTGTAATCAATACTTCCTCCTGTGCATATCCCTTCGCAACAAACTGTAAAACCCCAAAAGTTTAAATAAATTATGATAAATGGTAATAAATATGTTATATGGTGATAAATAATATTTATTGATGTTTGAGTATGCTAGAAATTGATTTGAGATTAATTCAATGTATATATATGAATATAGGAGTGAAAGCATGCACTATATACACGAGCCTGAAATCTGGAAAAACTACTAGTTAAGAGTATATGTGTTTTACATACTAATACATTTCGAATCTGGAAAAACTTAAAAAACAAAAGTTGTAGATCTCTTCAACAAATTTCCAACAAATCTTAAATTACCTACCGAGGTTGTATGAGAAAGTTACAGGCAAATTTCCGAAGGTGATTTTAAAAGTTAGACTAGGTTTCCTGGTTCGGGTCAAACGGGTTTTGCTTCGGGTTTGCCTCTATAAATACCTATGTTTTTTATGAAAATTCTTCTCTTTTATGATATCTCTAAACCCTAGCAGACACCCTCTTCCCTTAAAAACTTTAGATCAATTTCTTGTGAGTTTTGTGAGCCTTGTGAAGCAAAATATTGATATGATGGCGAGATCATCGACGTGTGGCAAGGGAGAACGGGTTGCTTGCACTTTTGGATTGCTTGCTGTTCATTTCAGAGGCTTGCACACGAAATTAAGGCAAAATCATCTTCATCTAAACCTACACCCTTAGTTAATAAATGATTTAAGATGTTTAAATCAATGTTTTACATGTTTAGGCTTAAACTGATGTGAAAAAGATGAGATTTTTAATGATTAATCTTAAACCAATGTTAGATCTATATGTTTTTCTCACTATTTATGTTAGTAACATGATCATGATCATTAAGGTTACTCTTAATTTCGTTTTTAAGTTGTTAAGCATGCTTAAACCAAGCTTAAACACTAATGTAGCAATTAATTGAGTTATCATGTTAATTAATCATGCTTAAACCCTAGGTTTGTGATACCTAGAAATATGAATGAACTTGAATCAAATTATATATATTCTATGAGTTTATTTGCAAGCATGCTTATGTTAATCATGTTAAGAGATCATGTTTTAATCGAGGAATTTGGTTAATTAGGTTGTTAAACCATAATTAAATTAACCCAAGAGTGTGAATTATGTTCAAGATAATTTTTTTAAAGTAATTAACAAAGTTTAAATGTTGTACTATGCTTCATGATAAGAAAGTGTCGTGTTTGAACAAGTTACATATCACAAAAACATCAAAACCCGAGAAAATAAAAATATGTATAACACAGAGTAGTCGACTAATAACATGTGTAGTCGACTACTCCTTTCTTGGCATGACTCACAAAATCTTTTTTATAGCAGAGTAGTCGACTAATGTTCATATTAGTCGACTACTCACACTCAGTCCAATTTTTCTAGATTCTGGATGGACTCAGAGTAGTCGACTACTAAGCGTAGTAGTCGATTACTAAGGCTGTTTTCTGAGTCGGGATAACAGAATGACAATGGCAATGGTAAGAGACCTTTTGCTGAACCTGGAGGACCCAAGCAGCGGGGTAAGGATGTTAGCATGCGTTTGTGCATAGATTATCACGAGTACTATGCTTAATAATCGACTACGTACTACGCTTAGTAGTTGACTACTCTGAGTCCATCCAGAATCTAGAAAAAATTGAACTGAGAGTGAGTAGTCGACTAATATGAACATTAGTCGACTACTCTGCTATAAAAAAATTTCCGTGAGTCGTGTCAGGAAAGGAGTAGTCGACT